TTAACGTAAAAAGATGGGAACTATCGTAAAATTAGTATTATTTGGCATAAAAATTGTTAGAAGTGTTGTAACATCGTAAAACAGTATTGTGACAACTCTAAATATAATGAAGGTAAGAATAAGCGTAATAAGATATTATGATAATGTAAATAATTAAATTGACAACCTAAATGAGTTATAATTTTAAACCCAAAGAATAATTCTCAACCAATAAATAAATGTTAACATAAAAATATAAGAATTCTCATAAAATAGGTATTATTTAGCATAAAATATGTTAAAAGTGTCGTAACACCCTAAGAGAGTATTGTGATAATTCTAAACGTAATGAAGATAAGAACAAGTATAAAAAGATATTATTATAATGTAAATAATTAAATTTACAACATAAAAGAATTATTACCTTAAACCTAAGAACTAATAAATAAATGTTAAAGCAAAAATGTGAGAATTATCGTAAAATTAGTATTATTTAGCATAAAATGTGTTAGAAGTGCTATAACACTCTAAGAAAGAGTTGTAATAATTCAGAACATAATGAAAGCAAGAACAAGAGTTAAAAGATATTATTATAATGTAAATAATTAAATTGATAGCATAAATAAATTATAATATTAAACCCAAAGAATAATTTTAAACTAATAAATAAATGTTAACTTAAAAATGTGATAATTATCATAAAATTGGTATCATTTAGCATAAAGTGTGTTAGAAGTATTTTAACACCTTAAGAGAGTGTTGTGGCAATTCTAAATATAATGAAGGTTAAAATAAGCGTAAAAAGATATTACTGTAACATAAATAATTAAATTGACAACATAAAAAAATTATTACCTTAAACCTAAAAAATAATTATAAACCAATAAATAAATGTTAACATAAAAATGTGAGAATTATCATAAAATTTGTATCATTTGGTATAAAATGTTTTCAAGTATCTAATACTTTAACAGAGAGTTATAATAATTTTAAACGTAATGAAAGTAAGAATAAGTGTAAAAAGATATTATTATAGCATAAATAATTAAATTAACAATGTAAAAGAATTATTACCTTAAACCTAAAGAATAAATCTAAACCAATAAATAAATGTTAATATAAAAATGTAAGAATTATCATAAAATTGGTATCATTTTAGTATAAAACTGTGTTAAAAGTGTCATAATATCTTAAAAGTATTATGATAATTCTAAACGTAATAAAAGAAGAACAAGTATAAAAATATATTATTGTAATGCAAATAATTAAATTGACAATATAAAAGAAATATCGTTGTAAATAGAAAATAATTTTAAACCAAAAAAATAGATGTCAAAGTAAAAAAGTTAGAATAATCATAAAATTAATATTGTTTGACGTAAAATAGTTACAAGTATTGTTACACCTTAATAAAATATTATGATAATTCTAAACATAATAAAAAGTATCAAGTGTAAAAAAAATATTATTAAAACATAAATAATTAAATTTGTAATGTAAAAAAATTAGTTTTATAAATAAAAATAATCCTACACCAAAAAATAGGTGTTAACATAAAAAGATAAGAATAACCGTAAAATTGATTTTTTTTTTTATGTAAAATGTGTTAGAAATGTCAGAATATTTTAAGAAAAAGTTATGATAATTTTATACGTATTAAAAGATAAGAACAACTATAAAAGATATTATTATAACATAATAATGAAGTTGACAGCATAAAAAATATTATTATACATAAAAAATAATTATAAACAAAAAAATACGTGTTAACATAAAAAGGTGAGAATAGTTAAAAAATTGAAATCATTTTATATAAAATGTATTACAATGTCGTAACGTAAAAACATAAAAATAATTGTAAAATTGATGTCATTTAACATAAATTAGATTAGAAGTATCGTAATACCATAGCAAAAAGTTATGATAATTATAAACGTAATGAAATGTAACAACAAGTGTAAATAGATATTCTTATAATGTAAATAATTAAGTTAGTAATATAAAAAGTTATTATTATAAATAAAAAATAATTTTAAACGAAAAGTAAGAGTTAACATATAATGGTGAAAATAATCATAAAATTGGTATTATTTTATGTACAATGGTTAGAAATATCGTTATACCTTAACAAAAAATTGTAATAATTTTAAACATAATAAAAAGTAACAACAAAAGTAAAATGGTATTAACGAAACATAATAAATTTATAACATAAAAAAATTAATATTATAAATTAAAATAATTCAAAATAAAAAAACGTTAAAGTAAAAAGGTGAGAATAATCATAAAATTAGTATAATTTAGCATAAAATATGTTTAAAGTGTGGTAATACTTAAGAAAAAGTTGTAATAATTTTAAATATAATAAAATATAAGAATAAGTGTAACGGATTTTATTATAACATAAATAATTAAATTGATAACATAAAAATTATTATTATAATTTTTTATAATTCTAAACTTAGAAATAAGTGTTAACGTAAAAAGTTGAGAATAATTGTGTAATTGTTATAATTTAACATAAAATTTGTTAAAAATTTCGTAACATTAAATGATGAGAATGGTCATAAAATTGATATAATTTAATGTAAAATGTGTTAAAAGTATCGTAATGTAAAAATATAAGAATAGTTATAAAATAAGTATTATTTGGTGTAAAATAAGTTGAAACTATCGTAATAGCCTAAAGAAAGTTATGATAATTCTAAATGCAATAAAATATAAGAACAAGCAAACAAAAATACTATTTTAACGTAAATAATTAAGTTGACAACATAAAAAAATTATTTTTTTCATAAAAATATAAAAAGATTATATTATAAATAAGAAATAATTCAATCAAAAAAATAAGTGTTTACGTAAAAATGTTAAAATAATCATAAAATTTGTATTATTTGACATAAAATATATTAAAAATGCTGTAATACTTTAAGAAAAAAATTATAATAATTTTAAACATAATAAAACATAAGAACAAGTGTAAAAACATATTATTATAATGTAAATAATTAAATTAGTAACATAAAAAATTATTATTATAAATAAAAAATAATTCCAAACAAAAAATTATTAACATAAAAAAATAAAAAAAAAAGTAAAAATAAGCATAAAATTGATATCATTTTACGTCGTAATACCTTAAGAAAAAATTATAATAATTCTAAATGAAACATAAAGTAAGAACAAGTTTAACAAAAAATTAAACTAAATAATTAACTTGACAATGTAAAAGAATTGATATTTTTAAATTAGAAGATTTTAAATAAAAAAATTGTTAACATAAAAAGATGAAAATAATAATAAAATTCATACTATTAGATGGAAAATGAGTTTAAAATGTCTTATTCTTGAAAAAAAATTAATAATTCTAAATGTAATGACAAAAAAGTATACAAATATAGTATGAAACATAATTAGTTAAGTTGATTTTGTAAAATAAATTGATATTATAAAATTAAAAAATATATCATTTTTTATTTGTTAAATTAATAAATTAAATAAAATTATATATATTTTTTAATATTTACCTATTAGTCCATTCTTCCTTTTTTTTAATTATATTATTTTTATAATTTATCATAATATATTATAGGATATCATGATATCTCATGACCTTAAAATAAAGATGATATATTGTGATCTTACTATAAACAAACCTATGATTTATAGGTTTTGAAGTTACGTATTCCAATTTAAAATATGATCAATCAATCTCTTTAATTGAGTTGCATGTCCTTCGATTAATAATTTGTTTTTATACACGAGATTAATTAATACTTATTTTTTTCATATTTTAATTTATTTTGAGAAGACTTTCACCTTTAAAATTAAGATTTTCTTCTAACATGAAATTTCAAAATTTCATACAAATTTAGATTTTATAATATTAAAGGTTATAGAACTCTATTATTAAATCAATTATTAATCAAAAGTCACTTATTTATAGTTTATAATTACAATATAAAATGATATTAATGATAAATATATTCACATGCAATGCATGGGACAACAAAAACTAGTATATGTTAAATGTATTATTTTTTTTAATAATAAGAAATTAATTCATATGAAACAAATGAAAAGTTATTCATATCAAATTCAAGATTTGCAAGTAGTAAATTTTAATTATTATTAATAAAAAAATAGAATATAAAAAGTTAGCATATTAATATACACATGTAAAATTAGGTTTCTACATAATAAATACAAATACTAAATATTTTCTTTATTTTTAATAAATTATTAAAATAAAAAATTAAAATATAATTAGTTCTCATATTAATTTCAATATTTACAAGTGTAAATTATTTTATAATAAATCATTATCAATAAAAAAGTAAAATACAAAAGGTTAGCATATTAATTTTAATATTCTGTTAATGATTTTTTAAATAAAATTAAAAAACGATAGTTTTAATATTTTCCTATTTAATTTATTTGAAAAATGTTTATATTCTAATAACCATTGAATTTAACTAAAATAGTATGGATATGAAAATTTATAAAACGCTATTATATTATTTCAATCCTTCATATTTCACTAATTAATGATTTTAAAATATATATATCAACTTTACTTGAAATATTTTTCTTATTCCATTGACAATTTAATTTAATTAAAATGTAAAAAAAAATAAAAAAGAAATGTTGTTATATTAATTATTTTCAATATATTTATACTCAATGAATTAATGATTAAAATTAAAATTTTATTTTTATGATTATTTATTGATTTAGGACTTGATCTTTCTGTTCTAATTTATATATAGATTCATTGCGCAAGAAATTTGAGTTTTTATTCCATTGGCATTTCATTTTTAATTTTTGTTTGTATGCTTCATAGTTTCGTCATAATTAGATATGAGGCTAGTTTGCATTTTTTAATATTCTTTCCAATGGAGTAGATTGTTTGTTAAAGAGAAACTTTTCAGATTTTAAAAAACTTGTGTATGTATGTATATTATTTTAAGTATTTTTTAAGAATTAAAAAAAAAAAAAGCTAATGAATGTATAGATAGGAGAGCAATGGGAACAGTAGACGATTCACTTATTTAGACAAACAACCAAATCCATAGATAGGAGAGCATCCATGATATGAGATGAGATGCTATTGCTAACACCACAACACACTTCATCTAGAGCAACATACTGAAACATAAATACAAGTACAACATAATAATACAACCCAGGTGGAAACATAAATACAACTTAATAATACAACACACTTCATCTAGAGCAACATACTGAAACATAAATACAACATAACAATACAAAACACTTCATCTGGAGCAACAAACTGAAATATAATACAAGTACAGCATAACAATATTTGTTTAAGCCCTCATCCTGGATCTCAATGGTTGTTGTTTGTTATTGTACTAGCCAACTACATTATCCGCTCCTCTTCTCAGCTGCTTTCGTCTGAGGAAGGGTTCCAAAAACTCTGTCCCATAATGCTGTAGTGATCCCAAAGCCCTTATTTTGAATTCTAAAGTGATGATTCAAGTGATATTTCTGCAATAAACATCCTCAAATCAAGTAACATAACACTCGTCTAATTTCTGCTTTTATTAAGTTTGGAACTGAAAAGTGACAACCTATTCTAGATAATGAGTGTTAAACTAGCAAGAAAAATTAAAGCACAATTATATATATATATATAATTATATATATATATATATATATATATATATCTTACCTTAAAGCTTTTAGGAACTTGTTTGGTGGGCTGACCGTGGTGTGTGTAGTAATGGATGACATCATACAGAACATACCCAATTAAACCACCTCCAAAGAAAGCAGGACTAGCGGAGGGAGTGAACAAAAACTTAAACAGGTACCAAAACTGGTCAAGAGACACCAAAAAAACAAATGATAAGTGGAAAGTAAGGAATTGTAATAATTCCAACATTTGTACATGACTTATAGATGCAAGAAAATGTTTTTGATCCGAATTGAAGCAAAATATACATACTGGTACACATAGTAGAGCAGCTTCAGCGGGTGGAATAACAAGCCGCAGGCCATCCATAGGGTGCTTATGGTGGCAGCCATGAAGAAGATAGTGCATGGTGTTTCCCCTATACCAAAGTTGTCAATGAATTATTACATCATTCTAGCATACTCTGAAGGCTGACATAAACAGAAAACGGATTAAAAGTCATAATATAAAAGTAACACAAGGGTAAAATATGTTTGTTTCTGTATAAATGTCATAAGCCCCGGAAAGAAAGAACTAACCAATAACTCTTTGTTTCAATGTGGAAAAGGAAACGGTGAAAACAGTATTCCAGAAATGTCCACACAAACATGCCAAAAGGAGCCATTAAAGCTATTTGAGGAAGCGTATGCCCATTACTTATGGACATTGAGATGCAGTAGCATGCAACTGGCAGCCATATGGTTGGAACTGCCCACCAGACCGTGCGGGTAAAGAACTGTTTCAAGTAAAACAAATCAAAGAAGCATTAGCATGTTCTTACCATAAACGGCCTCAGAAATTTTTAATTAAAATATTTCAAAATGCTTGTTAATACCTCCAAAAAATTACTCTCAAAAAATCGAGGACTTTCATAGCTCACAATAGGCTGGTGGACCCACTCCTGATAAGTTTCTCCAAGGTGACCAACCTGCCATAGATCCTCAAAATTTATAATCCTTAACTGGAGTTAGATATCCTATCCTAATTTTCTCAAGATGATCTCCCCTTTGCCTAAGATTACTAGAGAAGATTTAACAAGGAACAATGAAGCAAAAGCGGGTAGCAAAAGCGAGTGAAAGAAAGAAACAGAAAAAGAAGTTACCGCAATTGACATCACCAAGAAATCAACTCAAGGAAATAAAAAAAAACAGAAATAAAACCAAAATCATCTTGTTACACACGCTTGCCCCAAAGGATCCACTAAACAATAAAGAAATCCAAAAACGATCAATATCTGGCAATGCTGTTTTAATCACGTGAGAAAGTGAAAATGAGAATTGAAATGCAACGACAAAAAGAATAGCAGTCAACCTGCAAGACAAGGGGTTTATTAAAGTTAACGGTGAATTCACGTGCAGCCATCTTCGTAACTGCATAAAGAAACCATGGTTTAGTCAAGGATTACAAAATTATTAAACTTTGCTTCAAAGAATCATCCCAGATAAATAGGATCACACGAAATCTACTTATCTTAGTCTATCAAAAGGAATATATTCTTCTCATAACTTAAATTCACATTTCCACAATTCCAATTTCGAAACAGCACGACACACAATCTACTTAACAGAACCATCAATGAAACCTTGCATGTCAGAAAAAAAAATAAAACAACTTACCTAGATCTAGATCTAGAGATGAGAAAAGCCAAGACAATATGGGTTGTAACTAGGCCAAGCCCATGAAGCTGCTCAATTTAAAAGACAGCACCACAAAGATGGCAGTGAGCTGAAGACTGAAGGTAAAAGAATAGAGATTTTGGATATCATTATAGGGAAATCGTAGGGAGAGGATCTCAACCGTTGATCTAAAAAAAATTAAGACGTCAAAGTGTAACGTGTTCATTTAATTGGTGAGTGGGTGCCGATAAGGTTCTTGGGTAACGTGTTTTCCTCGGAGTAAACGTACGTCATCCCTTTTAATTTGCCATGAGTGTTTTATTTTATTATAAAAATAGGAAAGCTTTCTAAAAGTTAACATTCTCGTCATTAATCGAAGGCATGTAAGATTAAAAGGATAGTGAGATGGCAATGAGACTTTAATTTAGTGAAGGGTTTCAATCTTGACATGATTGTAATTTTTAAAAAAAGTTTAGGGTACAGTAAATACAAGGGAATCATAAATGAATGTTTATCATGCATCTTTTAGTTTAGTAGCGGGTTTCAAATTTTTAATTAAATTAATTTTAAATTCGAGTTATGTATGAATATATAATTATATATATAAAAATTTAATTATAATTTAATTAATAAATTTATATAAAAATATAAAAAATTTTAATATAAAATAAGTAAGAAATATAAATATTGTAGATCAATATATAACTATATAATAATAAAGTTTAAAGCAAGATAGTTAATATAAATGATAGTTGATTTGTTCTATAATAGGAAATATTAAAAAAAAAAAAAAAAAACCTTTTTGTGATCTTTTCTCTCTTCACTTAAACAAGATATCAGATTCATTACCCTAAACTCTTAGACAGAAGGTTAGCGGATGCATGGGATCCTCAATCAAGGATATGATTGATTTGGTTCGAGCTTTCACAAGTTAATGTAGTGATATATTTTAATATATTTTAAATAAAGGTCACGTTTTTAATGTAGTGATATTGAAATTCTTACAAAAGTTATGATTAAAAACACGATTTTTATTGAAAAGATAAAAAAATATTTTTTATAATTAAAAAAATATTATTTTAAAAATAAAAACATGGTTTTGTTAAAATATGAAAAAATTTATTTTCAAAATTTAACAAAAACGATATTTTTAAGATAAAAATATAATTTTTGTTGAAAATACGATATTTCTAAAATAAAAACACAAAATTTATTGTGAATATGAAATTTTTTTTTTTTCAGAATTCAACAATGAAAATGTTTTTAAAATAGAAAAAAAATAGTATTTGTTAAAATTATGAAAAAAATATAGTTTTTAGAATTCAATAAAGATGGTGTTTATAAGATAAAAAATTTGATCTTTGTTAAAAAAATGATGTTTCTAAGATAAAAACATAATCTTCATTAAAAATATAAAAAATATCTTTATCATAATTCAATGAAAATGATGTTTCTAATAAAAAAACATAATTTTTTTTTAAAAAGATAATGTTTATAAGATAAAAATGTGATTTTTGTCAAAAACATAAACAATAAAATTTTCAAAATTAAATAGATATTGTTTTATATATCTATGGTAAATATAAAATATATTTAAAAATTTAATAAAAGAGCGATTAATTTAATCGATTTGATTATTAATTTTAAAAATTAAAAATTAATTAAGTTAATCAACTAAATTAATTTTTATAATTGATAATAATGGAATTGACTTAACAAAAATAATTTAATCAAATTCAATTATATTTGATCGATCAAATTGAAATTGAAATATGCTCATCCTTAGATCCATCACCAAGTCAACCCTTTAATTGCCCAATTTACCATCGTCAACAGCCATCAACAAAGATGACATCAGGTGGATTAGAACGGATTTTTTTTTAATTTATATAATTTTATATTTATAAAATTTAAATTTAAATATAATTTAATATTACATAAATCGTATTTAATATAATTTGATTTAAAATTAATAAAATATTATTTTTTAAATATAATTATATATAAATAAATAATTAAATAAATAATTTTTTTATATATCAAATCGGATTAAATTTATTTAACATTCGAACTTAATTTAATTTTAATTTTTTTAATATTATTTAATTTAATTTAATTTAAAATTTAATTAAAAAAATTGATCCTGATCGAATCCAATCGCAATCCAATTGAAATACGTCATAAACATGTTGCGCTGTCAACCCTAGCCATCAACTGCCAGCTGGTCGACCAAAATAATGAATACTAGCTAATGGATAGAGGATGATCTCACAATTGGCCAACAACACATCACTTGCCAGCTGGTCGACCAAAATAATGAACACTAGCTAATGGATAGACGATGATCTCACAATTGGCCAACAACACATCACCTGCCAGCTGGTCGATAAAAATAATTTTTAGATTTATTTTAATTTTAATTTTTTATTGACAATTTTTTTCTCTTTGTTGTCATCACACTTTTCGGATATAGTTTTTTTTCTTAAGAGTTTGATCCGATTTATAAATCAGTGTGTGGGAGGGTATCAATGGACATCTTCCCAAGACACCCCAAAATTTTCCTGTGAATATCCTCAAAGATGAAAAAATTAAAAAAAAATTTCCTCTGATACAATAAAATTGATAAATCTATTAATAATTTTTTATATATATTATAAGTAAACGTTCTTAAAAAATTTTTAGATTTATCACTATCATAAATGACTGGTTTGATTTACTTAATATCATAATTATTTCATTCATAGTTAGTTATTCAATAAAATAAATATAGTCTCATTATAAAAATAAAAAAATTTATATCATTTATATACTTACGTTATTTTTTAACATTTTGATTGACATAATAAAAATAATAAAAAAATTGTATCACCCATAATGAAGTCATTGAAATAAGTTTTCATTTTAGATAAATTATAAAATATATATTTAATTAAAAATTATATTATATTATGCGATATTTGATATATTATTAATTTTGTTAATGTTATATTAAGTAATAAATTATTATAAACAAAAATATATTATAATATTAATTTACTGACAAATTTCTGATTAGGTCACTGCTTCAGAATCTCCCCTTTTACGCTCTCTAACCATTCCTTGTTTTACGAACTAACTTAATGAAAACTTCCTAACAAAGCAAAGTTCACCTCCTCGACAGTTAACAATATATATGACCTTTTTTTGGTTCTCTGCTCGACTCTTTCCACCTTTAATTTCTTTGTCGTTTACTCACTATTCCCAAATTAATGGAAACATTTATTGTTTGCATTATTAAATATAGAGAGAAAGAGACGCACACACCATCACCATGTGAGAGTAGGTAATTTTTTACGTTTTGTTAGCACGAGGAATATCTGATTTCATCGTCGTAATATAAATAAAAGGTTGAATTATATTTGTATTTTATTCAGACAAGTGAATTTTTTTTTGTAAAAGCTTGAGTTATATTTATATATTTTATTCGGAGAAGTGTAATAATATAAGTCTCTTAGAAAGATGGATTTTTTAATTTTTTGATTTTATTTAATCTCAATATATATAAAAATATTATTTAAAAGCATTTGGTTCAGGAAAAAAATTTATATTACGTATGAAATTTTATTTTTCATAATTTAATCTTTTAATCTGGTTCATGAGATATGACTTTTAGAATATTATAAGATTCTCAATAATGTCTAAATAATCTAGAATCAAAAATTTATTTTTCTCTAAGATTTTTTAAAATTTTAGAAGGAATGTAAAATTTGTTCATTTTGACCTAAATAATAATTTTTTATGGTCTATTTTATCATTGAAAATTAATGTAATTGTATAATAAATCGAAATCAATTCTGGCACATCAAGTTGCATTTCTAACATTTTTTATATATAATTGATAAAACATAATTTTTTTTATATAAAAACATAGTATTTGATTTATCAAATATTGTGTTTATAATGGTCAAAATGTCATTTTTTTTAAATAAAATTTTTTATGATTTATCAAACACAACGTTTTTATGTTAGAAACGTGTCATATGCTATGACACGTTATAAAAAAAATTAATTATAATAAAAAACAATGCTTTTAAACAAAATGTAGTTGATTGTCGAAAAATATGAATTTTGAATTTTATATAGTTTTAGAAACACCACATTTTTAATATATGAAACGTAGTTGATCATTAAAATAATATTTTTTAAAATAAAAAATGTAATCTTTGTTGAAAATATAGAAAAATATTTTGTAAAATTTAACAAACAACGTTTTTAAAATAGAAAATGCAATCTTTATTGAAAAGATGATGTTTCTAAGATAAAAACATAGTTTTTATTGAAAAAACGACACTTCTAAGATGGAAAATGCAGTATTTGTTGAAAAGACAATGTTTCTAAGATAAAAATATAATTTTTGTTGAAAAGAGAAAATTTTAAAGATAAAAACATAGTTTTGTTAAAAACAAAAAAAAATTTAGAATTCAATAAAGACGATGCTTTTAAGATAGAAAACACAGGTTTTGTAAAAAACATGAAAAAAAGATTTTTCAAAATTCAACAGAAATAATATTGCTTAGATTGAACGTGCAATCTTTGTTAAAAAGATAGCGTTTTAGTATTATGAATACTACATGTTATCAAGGATAATATAGGAAAAGACTTTATTAGATAATTTTACATTTCTGTGAACTAAACACATAAATTTTATATTTCCTAAATCAACAAAAACCCAGGAATTATATATTCCATTTCAATATCATTTTTCTTCTAAATCACATTCCTTCCTCTCGAAATCAAAGAATCTGTGAATTAAACATCCCTTTATATTTACATAAGAGTTATACATTTTTTTTTAATCATTGGAGTGAAATTAAATTTATAATACTTACGCTTAATTATTTTAATTCAAAAGTCAAAAAATTTATAATTCTTACACTAGTGTAAGTTGATCTCTTCTATTATCATTTTAATCTTAGAGGACGTTTAATTCATGGATTTTGAGATTTCCTCAAGAATTTAATTTTTCTTAATATGATTCCCACGCTTATTTCATGAAACGTGATTCACTTAGGGTTTTTAAGATTATGAATAGTATTAAAAATGGATAAAATAACATGGAATCATCTTTCTAAGGTTTTCTTAAATTCATAACAT